GGGCGTTTTCGTGCGTGGGCCTGTCTAGCGCGGGTGACGACCTAAAACGGGCCGGGGCGTCGCGGCGGCCTACGGGCGGCTGCGTCGTCCGGGGCAGGGGTCGACGGGCGGCTAGGGGGGCTGCACACGGGCGGCGCAGGTCGCGTGGGCGGCTAGGGGTAGGCGCACGGGCGGCTAGGGGTCGGCGCACGGGCGGCTAGTGAGTCGCGCGCTAAAAAAAAAAAAAAGGGCCGCGCGCGGCACTAGCGAGCTGCGCACGGGCAGCAGGAGGAACAGAGGGGGCGCACGAGGGCGCTCTAGGAGACGGGCGCTCGAGGGCGCTCCAGCAGAAGGGCGCTCGAGGGCGCTTCGTGTGGTGGGCCCTTAGGTAAGTGGTCCTAGGACAAGGACCTAAGCTCGTAATACCATGTCAGAATGAAGAAGTGATGGACTATGAAAGATGAGAGTACAAGTATATAACCCTAGAGTTGTGTACCCCCTAAAGGCTAACCCACTATAGCCTACACATCAATAACATATATGATAATGTTTGACAGGGGCCGGGCGCGGGCGTCGACGGGCGCGGGCTAGGGAAGGGGCCGGGCGCGGGGCTAGGTACGGGGCCTGGCACGGGTGTCGACAGGGCGCGGGCTAGGTACGGGCCGGTCGCGGGCGTCGACGGGGCGCGGGCTAGGTATGGGGCCGGGTGCTGGTGTCAACGGGGCGATCGCGGGCTAGGTACGGGGCCAGGTCGCGGGCTAGGTACGGGCCGGTCACGGGCATCGACTAGGCGCGGACTAGGTGCGGAGCCGGGCGCGGGTGTCGACGGGGCGATCGCGGGCTAGGTATGGGCCGGGCGCAGGCATGAGACAGGGCCGAGCGCGGGCTAGGTACGGGCCTATTGCGGGCTAGGTACGGGCCAGGCGCGGGCAAGAGACTGGGCCGGGCGCGGGCTAGGTACGGCCCTATCGCGGGCGAGGTACGGGCCGGGCGCGGGGCTAGGAACGAGGTAGCAGGTGGTGGGCCCAAAGGTAACCTACTCTGATACCATGTTAGAATAACGAGAATGATGCATTAGTTGAAAGGGTGGGGGGTACAAGTAGAATGTCGAGAGAAATTCTGTACCCCTTAAGGCTAAACCCACTACAGCCTAGAGAAATATAAACACATATGTTTGACACAGTGCATTGGATTTGGCGCAAGGTTATCACCAATTGCGTATAACAGAGGACGATGTTCCAAAGACGACTTTTCGTTCGCCGTTTGGCCATTTTCAGTGGCGTGTGTTAGGTTTTGGCTTGACCAACGCTCCGGCCTCTTTCCAGAGGGCGATGAACGATGTGTTTCACGATGCGATTGGCCAGTTCGTCTTGGTGTGCCTCGATGATATCTTGGTATACTCAAAAACCGAAGACGAGCATACGGAACATCTGAAATGGGTCCTCGAAAAATTACGCGAGCATAAATACTACGCGCGTTTGTGGAAATGCCATTTTTACAAACGTGAGCTGGAGTATTTGGGGCACGTGGTGGGGCATAATGGGTTGAAAGTGGACCCCAAGAAGGTAGCAGCTGTCCAGGAGTGGCCCGTCCCACGCGACGTTGGCTAAGTTCGATCATTCCTGGGCCTGGCGAATTATTTTCGTCGCTTTCTTGGAAAACCATTCCACGATAGTCGCTCCCCTCATGGCATTGACCCGGAAAGGGTGTATATGGGAGTGGACTCCACAGTGCCGGAAGGCCTTCGAAGAGGTCAAGCATAAATTAACTAACGCGCCAGTTTTGGTGTTGCCAAACCCATAGAAACCATATGAGGTGGTTACGGACGCCTCAACGGTGGGACTTGGTGCAGTACTCCTGCAAGAAGGACGCCCTGTGGCATTTGAGAGTAGAAAACTCTCCCAGGCAGAGCAACGCTACACGACTACCGAACAAGAGCTGTTGGCTGTCGTGCATGCGCTAAGAACATGGCGATGTTATTTGGAAGGGGTAGAGTTCGTGGTCACCACTGACCATTGTCCGAACACATGTTTTTCTACCCAAGCTACCCTCACTCGCCGTCAGGCCCGTTGGACTGAAACTCTTAGCGGGTTCAGTTTCGACATTCGTTATCGTGCAGGTTCCACGAACCTGGCTGACCCCCTCAGCAGACAGCCGATAGGGGCAGCAACCGGGCTTGACGATACCGAACATGCGGTTGTTTTTGCTGCCCGTTTTAGCATACTAGCTGCGGCGAAAGTGAGCGAGATCGCGTTCAGTGGTTTTCTGAAACGAATTTTTACAGGATATCATATCGATTCCTAGTTCCATAACCCACAGAACACCAAACATTTGACATGGGAACACGATCTTTGGTGGCGAACAAAAGAGATTGCGGTACCTCATGTAGGCAATCTGCGGAACGATATTTTGGAAGAGGTGCATGCCACTAAATATGGGGGACACTTGGGCATGAATAAGACCCGGTGGGCCCTACGTGATGTGTATTGGTGGCCAGGAGTCGGTAATGATGTCCAACAGTTTGTGGCACATTGTGACACGTGCGCACGTAACAAACCGGACACACAGAAGCCTGGCGGTTTGCTTCAACCACTTGAAATTCCGAGTGAACCTTGGGAAAGTGTTTCACTGGATTTCATCACCGACCTCCCAAAAACCCGCGATGGGTATGTCAGAATCCAATGTCGCTGAAATGCTTTGGCGAAGGCATGTGAATTTTGGGGGTACATAAGTGCGAATGTTAAATGTGAACTCAACTCGAATCACACGAGTGAACGTGCGCGTGCACGTTGAAGCGAGCGTGTGTTGTTTTCAGCACGTACGAAAATCATGCGAACATCGCGAATTCTTCGCGAAGGTCGCGGAGATTCGTTGCGCAGCATGTTGACGTGCCACGCTGTACCGGGTAACCTACACCCCTACGGGCGGCTCGCTGCCGGTCCCTATAAGGTCGAATGTCTGTGTTCGACCTTGGGTGTGTGATTGCAAGTTTACAGTGTTGTTTCCCCAATGTTCGAACTTAGCTACAAAAAATGTCGAGTTTCGTTCGGGATAGTTCAAATGCTACATTCGACTTAAAAAGGTAAACTTTTGCAACTTTCAAAGATCACACGTGCCCTTATATCTTGTATGGGCCACGTCTCGTTCACGCCTGATTCTCGCCTAACAAAAGGTGACGCTGGCGAAGTCGGCGAGGAAGGGTGGGTCGTGTGGGGCTAGTTTGCCACGGGTTGTTGTTTTCGCCTGCGCTTTTGTGTTCGCATATATTTTCGCTAGGTGAATTGCCTGACATTTTGCTTTCGCGTAACGAAATTGGGTTTCATGTCGCCGATGGGTACATGCGCGAGAGGTGCGGAGCTCGGGTGGCACGGGGAACTGGGCTTGCGTGCCCCGGGTCCCAACAAGCCCCAGCTGGCGGGGTTCCAGTCCCCGAACCGTCCCATCACTGGGGGAAGGTATGGCAGCATCGTTCCCACGGGCAAAAGGGAGCGGCAACGGAAGGGATTCGTTCGTGTTGGCGAAATCACGGACGACGAGTTCGCTCTCGCCTAGTTACACTGACAAAGTTTTTTACCGTAGTGTACCACGCGGCTGTAATGTCTTAAAGGTAATGTACCGAAGTGTTTCGCGCCCTCATCATCATTTCCTTCGAAGCAGCGGCTACGCGCCCGAACCGAGCAGTTCATGTCGCGGCACTCCTCGACATTGCATGATTTTATGCGACCACAGGCGTTTAGGGTAACCAGACGACGCTAGTGAGCTGTTTGAATGCATGCTCGAGCAGCTCAGGTTCGAGTCACAACACTACTATGGCCACACCTGAAGAAGCTGACTTGGCAATGGTGAACTCTGTGACGGCCACGGCCGACATTAGCGATCGTACCGAGATAGAAGTTGCACATGTCTCAGGCGACAAGCAAGTCGCAGAAGTCGCACACGCCGTAGGCGACTCAGTCGCTGGCGTCGTGCATCCAGCCGAGTTCGATAAGGAGTTATTCGTTACTGTCATCCCGCTACAGGCCCTCGCCGTGCCTGCTCGGCTGGCGCAACAGACCTCTCGCATCGTTCACGGGTGCGTCAGGATTGTGGGTGTCCAATGGGGCTCATGGGCTACCAGGTCGCATGGACGACCGCGTCGCGTGACCGACTGGGTCACATAGCGACTGAGGAACGTGAGTGGAGGAATAGTTGGCACGTGCGGGCTGGGCGCGCCGGCAGTACAGACGCACGAGGCTGCGACCATACCACTCGTCGCCACATCCTTCCTGCCTACCTCCAGACGCTCCATTTCCAAATCACACACTTCCTTCCCCACAACCCACCCCCGTCCCCCCCTCACTCATCCCAACTCACCTCCCCACTTCCCCCCTCCTGCCCTTCGCTACAGTCACACCTTCGACCGCCCTCGCTTACGTCACATCCTGCCGCACCCCAGCGACGCCTCGCTGCGCCTCGTGCTGCTGGATGACGTCATTAAGGACGCCTCAACGGGTGGGTGCAACAAGCAAAGTCAGAATTTAGGGTTTGGGGTTTGGAGATCAGACCAAATATATTTCAGCGAGCCGTAGACAGCATATGAGTGAAGAAATGCCAAGGTTTAGGCGAGGGCGAGGGTTTGGGGTTTTTGAAAGAGGCAGGGGGACATGAATGGACTGCACATCACCGTTGCACCGCGCTGCACCACGCTGCACCGTGCTGCACCACGCTGCACTGCTGCACTGCTGCACCACGCTGCACTGCTGCATTGCTTCAAGGTCCTCCCACCGGCAATTGGCAGCACGAGCAGCAGCGTGTTGAGTTGAGCCATCACTTATAATCTTGTCCATCAGATCGCTCATCATCCATCCCACAGCACTGGAAACATGTTAAGAGTCGCACTATTGCCTACCACCGAGTTCCCTCATGCCTGCTCTTCACCAGATCTCCCACCGTCCATTCCACAGCCTGGGCAGTAGCGATTCACGAGTTGTTCAATCTCCATTCGCTTACCGTTGTTCCTTCGTGTGCTTGTTTCGCACCAGATCTCCCAGCGGCCGTGCGGCAGCAGCTGCAGCAGGAGGGGCTGTGGAACGTCACCACGTACGAGCAGCGCCTTGACTACTCCTACTGGCCTGCAGGTCAGCAGCGCCTACTTCTATGGGCTCCATTCTGGCTTTTGCTGTTTATCCGTGTGTCCCAGTTGATCACACATGATTTCTCTCTGCTTCGGATATCCGTTCTGGCTCGCACGGGGTTAAGTGCGGTCCAAGGTGTCTCAGATGGGGCTGTCCTATTCAATATAGTCACACTCCCTGCTTTGGGATATCCTTTCGGGCTGTTTGATCAGGCATGCCTTCATTCTCTGTCAGCACGCCTGCCACAACCCCGTCTCACTCCCTCCCACCCGCCTTCAGATCACGTGCTCCGCATGCTGCTGCCGCCAGGGGTGGAAGTGCCCACGGCATTCGAGACTGTCGGTGAGCCCACCTGCACCACCCACGCGCCCACCACCCACTTGGCATAGTCACAGCCGTAGGTAGGCATGGTAACATGAGGTGTAACATGAGGTGTACCATGAGGTGTACCATGAGGTGTACCATGAGGTGTACCGTGAGGCAGGTACCATACCTTGAGTATGTATGATGGGTACTAGTACTATAGCGTGTGGCTTGTGTTTTCTCAGCCCCATTACCTACCCATTGGGTTAGAAGGCGCGTTCTTGTGGTGCATGTGAGCCACAGCATGCATGTGAGCCACAGCATGCATGTGAGCCACAGCATGCATGTGAGCCACAGCATGCATGTGAGCCACAGCATGCATGTGAGCCACAGCATGCATGTGAGCCACAGCATGCATGTGAGCCACAGCATGCATGTGAGCCACAGCATGCATGTCAGCCCGTGCTGCCATCTGCTCGTGAGTTGTCGCACCTTCAAACCCATCCCCAACCCACCGCCCTCCCCTCCCTGTCCCCATGCGCGGCAGGCCACATAGCGCATGTGAACCTGCGCGATGACCTGCTGCCCTACCGCTTCGTCATTGGGAAAGTCCTGCTGCAGGTGAGGTGAGGTGAGGTGAGGTGAGGTGAGGTGAGGTGAGGTGAGGTGAGGTGAGGTTGAGGTGAGGTGAGGTGAGGTTGAGGTGAGGTGAGGTGAGGTGATGAGGTGAGGTTGTGTGGTGCGCTTGTGAGGTGAGGTTGAGGTGAGGTGATGAGGTGAGGTTGTGTGGTGAGGTGAGGAGGTGAGGTTGTGTGGTGCGCTTGTGAGGTGAGGTTGAGGTGAGGTGATGAGGTGAAATTGTGTGGTGCGCTTGTGAGTTGAGGTTGAGGTGAGGTGATGAGGTGAAATTGTGTGGTGCGCTTGTGAGGTGAGGTTGAGGTGAGCTGATGAGGTGAAATTGTGTGGTGCGCTTGTGAGGTGAGGTTGAGGTGCGGTGATGAGGTTAGGTTGTGTGGTGTGCTTGTGAGGTGAGATTTACGGTGGGGATGCCTGTAACGCACTGGATAGGTGCAGGGAGAAATGGGGATAGGAGAAGGTCGATTGCCTGTAGGCTCCTTTGAGGCGCCTCAAAAGTCGTGTGCGACCTCTCGTTCATCACCTCCACATGGCAAGCTGTGCTGCCGTTTGCTTCCTCCTGCACTGCTTCCTCTGCATCAATTCTTGCCTTTTCTATCCCAAATCAACTCGTCCCACCCACTCCCTGCAGAAAAACGCCCCCCTGATCCGAGCAGTGGTGAACAAGAGCGGCATCATTGAGAACGAGTTTCGAGTACCCACGCTCGACCTCATCGCAGGGGAAGGCTCCTCCTCGCACCTGCCAACCTCCGTGCGGCAGCACGGCGCCACGTTCCACCTGGACTACGCGCGCGTGTACTGGAACTCGCGATTAGAGCACGAGCACAAGCGCCTCGTGGACGCGTTCTTTAAACGAGGGGAGGTGGTGGTTGATATGTTCGCTGGGGTCGGGCCGTTTGCGGTCCCGGCTGCCAAGGCGGGGTGTGCTGTGCTTGCGAATGACTTGAATCCGGCCAGTGTGGAGTATTTGAGGCGGAATGTGAGGGTGAATGGGGTGGAGCGGCGGGTGAGGGCTTATAACGAGGATGCACGGGTGTTTGTGAGGGGGGTTCTGAAGCCGCCGGAAGGGGGTGAAGGTGAGACGGTGGCGAGAGGGGTGGAAGGGAGTTTGGAGGAAGGGATGGAGGGGAAGAAGGAAGGGGGTGGGGAGGCAGGAGGGATGGAGAAGTCGCAGCAGGAGGAGGGGGGGAATGTGGAGAGAGAGCAGCAGCGAGCAGTAGCGAGGGGGGTGAAGAGAGAGAGAGGCGATGCAAGACAGGAGGCGGAGAAGCGGGAAGGGGAGGGGATGGAAGTGGAGGGTGTAGGGGAGCAGAGGGTGGAAGTGGGGAGTGCCAAAGTGGGGGAAGACGTGGCAGCGGCTGGGAGGGGTGTGGCTGAAGGGGTGAGAGGGAGCAGGCATGGGCAAGAGGTGAGAGAAGTGGGAGAGAAGGATGGTGAGGGCAGGGAGGCAGCTGGAGGCCAGGGATGTTGTGAGACAGCAGGCGGCAGCGATACAAGTGATGGGGGAGTGGGCCGAGCAGCAGGCGAGGGAATGCAGGGGGCGGGCATGAATGTAGAGACAGCGGAGGAGGTTAGAGAGGGAGGCACCCAGGAGCAGTTGGGTGAGGGTAAGGAGGAGCAGAAGGGGGGAAGGACGGGGAGAAAAGGCAAAGGGAAGAGGAAGGGAGGGAAGGGGGAGAGCAAGGAGGGCAAGGATGGGGGGGGCATAGAGGTGGCATTGGTGGCGCCGTGGCGGCATGTGGACCACGTGGTCATGAACCTGCCTGCCTCTGCCATCACCTTCCTCGGTGCGCACATGCCGTTCTTCCCTTCACCATGAAGGGAAGCTCATTCATTGTCGTTTGCCCGTCGTCAAGCCACAACTCCCTAGAGAAACGCCCCTCTTTCCAACGAACCCCCAACCAACTCCTTCAAATGTTCAAACTCTCCCCTCCACCCACTCCCCCATCCCTCCACCCATTTTTCTTGTTAGTGTTAGCCCTCAATCTCAACTTTTGTACTTGTAATATTTATATCCTAGCTTCGTGTAGTTTGCACTTTGTGCTGGTTGGGTGTACACCCACATCCGAACCAAACCAAAATGTGATCACCAAGCAATCTCCAACCCACAAATTGGAAATTGCCTTGGGATTGCCCCCGATTCCCTCCCCATCCATACCTTGCTCATTTCGGATGTACTTAAAGAGCTTTGAGCTCATTACCAATGCATCAGTTCTTACATTTCCACCCCCCAGACTCCTTCCGCGGGGCGTTCTCGCGCGCGCACTGGGAGGGCGCCCTGCCGCTCATCCACACCTACTGCTTCCACCGCTCCGGCCACACCGCTGAGGCCGTCACGCAGGTGGGGGGGGGGGGGGCAGGTGGTGGTGCGGGTGAGAGGGAGGGGGAAGAGGCAGTGGCGCAGGTGGGGTGGGGATGCAGCCATCTGCATGCCCGTGTCAAGAAACTGTGCCTCTGCTCCCATGCTCCCCAGCTCCCATGCTCCCATGCCCCCATGCTCCCATGCTCCATGCCCCGTTGCTGCTTGCGTGCACTGCTTGCCTGCACTGCTTATCCCTCATGCCTGCACTGATGGGGTGGGAGAGCAGGAGGTGGAGCAGCACCTGGGCTTCGCAGAGGATGCGAGGTGGCTCGTCTCAATCGTCACCATGCGTGTCACCATGCGTGCACGAGTCCTTCCGCTCACTCGACTCATGCTTGCAATTGCTCTTTGTCTCCGTTGCGTGCGTGTTCGCCTGCCTCTGAGAAGGAGGTTGAGCGGCATCTGGGCGCTGCTGTGGATGCCGCCACGCTCTCCATCCACCCTGTCAGGAATGTGGCGCCCAATAAGGTGATGCCACGTGGCAGTGCTTGCAGCACCAGGTGTTCTGGGGGTGTGATGGGGTTGTGATGGGGGTGTGATGGGGGTGCGATGGGGGCGTGATGGGGGTATGATGGGGGTATGATGGGGGTGTGATGGGGGTGTGATGGGGGTGTGATGGGGGTATGATGGGGGTGTTATGGGGGTGTGATGGGGGCGTGTTGAGGGTGTGTTGTGTTGTCTCTTCAGCTGCTGTGCGAGAGGGATTCGCTGGGCAGATGAATGTGGCTTTAGGCAGCTGCAATCTCGCCTGGTTGTTTTGTTAGTGTTCCTATGACAGCCGACACGCACCTCACTTGCGCCTAGGTGACAATAAGTCTGACCCAATTTGTTTCCTCCTCTCCACTCCTCTCCACTCCTCTCCCCTGCCCTACAGGATATGCTGTGTGTGTCGTTCCGGCTGCCAGAATCAGTTGCATTTGCAGCCTCATAGAAGTTGCCTGCCCTAAATCATAAGGGTAAAACATAAATCATAAGGGTAAAACACCATGATTCCCTCAGTTTCTGGTTCCTGAAAGGACTCTTTCCTGACACTTGAAACTACTTCCTCCTCCATGTTTTAGCAAGACCAGATGTGTCTCTTGGTGTTTTTACGGGAAACGCCCAGCCGGGACACGGTCCTATGCAGGGGGGGAAGTCGAGGGAGAGGGGGGGAGAGGGGAGGGGCAGGGGAACACCACAGGAATCAGCCCTTTGACGCCCGACCATGCTTCATCCTGAGTTGTTCCATTCGATGACCTGGCGTCGACCTGTTTGTCAGGGTGATCATTTCTGTTAGAAACGAAATGATGTGTGTACCGTATTACTGTGAGTTGGGGTACATATACCTAATCCTAACCACTGTACCCCACATGACATGCCTCACTACAAGCTACAACATATGACACACAGGCCCTTAGATTCACTTTTAGGGACCCTGATGCATCAGGGTCCCTGTGAAAAAAAAGGCATATTGTCAGTGTTGCAAAAAAAAAAAAAGCCTGAAATTTCAGGGTCCCCAAAAAAAAAGGTCTGATTTCATACAATTTACACTTGTGGTTACAAGTGTAGGCCCATCTAGTTATGACGGCACAGGGAATTACGGCAGTAATTACGGTAATCACGGTAACGACTGGGACAGTTCATGCTGCGAAGACAAATGTTTTCGTTATATGTACACTTTTGATGTGAAATGTTGGAGTCCCGATAATCTCGGGTGTTTTACAGGAAGGATGCGGAATCTGCATTCAGTGTACACGTTTGATAAAAGGCTGAAAAATCAGTCCCCTTCCATAAAAAGAGGCTGAAATTCCAGGGTTACAAAATAGATTGGTGCAGAAAAAAAAGGCTGAAAATCAGTCAAATCAGGGTAAAAAGCCTGATATCTAAGGGCCTGATGACACACCCCCACAGCCTAAGTGAGGGGTGTCATGCAACAACCAAACTGTACGGTCACAAGACCAGTCACAAAGAGACAAAGCTCAGGGTGGATCACAACGTTGCCACACAGTCCGAGCACAAGCAAGAGGCCACAAGGCCAGTCCAAGAGTTCACAGAGGTATATGTAAAGAGTACAAACAAAGCAAACAGACAACACAAGTATACACAAGACGAGAACCTATGTCAACGAGACCTAACCGCACACAAAACCCGTGGTGGTCACAAGGCGGAAGGGCCTTGGTGAAGATGTATGCAGTGTTGGCCTCGGAGCCCACGAAGTCCAAACGAGCCTGTCCATGCCTCTGCAACTCTCGAAGAAGAAAATATCTGACGCTGATGGGCTTCACTATGCTCTCTTGTCGAGGCTATCGACACAGGAGAATCTTCGCCTTGTTTTTTGTGAACAAGGTCGGTGCAGAGCTCGGTCGTTCACCAAGGTCTGACAGCAAGAAGGTCAACCAACGCAACTTTTGTGCAGCCATGGCTCCAGCGTAAATCTCGGCCTCAGGAGTAGAGGTCGGGATAGAGGAGGAATGAGTAGACCTCCATGATACAGCTCCAGAGCCTAGATTGAAACAGTACCCCTGCGTGGACCTGTGAGTCTCGACGTCGTCGGCATAAGAAGAGTCACAGTGGCCAGTGAGCACGGCAGGCTGTCTCCCTCCAAGCACCAGCCCCACGCCTGATGTCGTCGCTAGGTACTTCGCCACCCTCACAGCAGCTGTCCAGTGAACAGGTCGGTGTCTCCCTGGCGCAACAAAGCGGGCAAGGATGTTGAGAGGGAAGGCGAGGTCCGGGTGGGTACAAGTCATCAGGTACATGAGGCAGCCCACAAGCTCTGGGTAAGGACCACTAGGCTCAAACGTCGTTGGCGTAAGAAGAGTCACAGTGGCCAGTGAGCACGGCAAGCTGTCTCCCTCCAAGCACCAGCCCCATGCCTGATGTCGTCGCTAGGTACTTTGCCACCCTCACAGCAGCTGTCCAGTGAACAGGACGGTCTCTCCCTGGTGCAACAAAGCGGGCAAGGATGTTGAGAGGGAAGGCGAGGTCCGGGCGGGTACAAGTCATCAGGTACATGAGGCAGCCCACAAGCTCTGGGTAAGGACCACTAGGCTCAAACGGCTCGTCAGGGAAGGGTCCAGTGAGTCTGTGGTCAACAGCAAGAGGAGTGGGTTGTGTGGTGGAGAACTGAAACCCGAACCGCTGAAGGACCTGCTGCACCATGTGTGACTGGGTCAAAGTGATGGTGCGAGCTGCTCTGTCCCTGGTGGTCTGCAGGCCAAGGTAGTGGCGCAGCTCACCGAAATCAGTGTACGTATGTCTCCTCTACATTTCGGACTTCACGTCCGCCAAAACAGAAGACGGTTGGAAACCGAGATCAAACAGGGTAGAGCGAAGAGTGTCGTGCCACTCACGAGGCGCCGGACGGAGGTCGTAGACCGGACGTCTGAGCCTCCACTGGGTCCCAGGAGGGAAAGAGCCAGTGAAGGCAGAGGGACAACGCAGCCAGACCTCCTCGTGTAGGCTACCCTGAAGGACGGCAGTGGAGAAGTCGAGAGAGTATAGCGCGTAGTCTTTCTGTGCTGCCACATGAAGTAACACCCGAAGAGTGGTCATCTTCGGGGTAGGCGTGAAGGTCTGAAAGAAGTTAACTCCCTCGCGCTGACTGAAACCTCTAGCCACATAATGCGCCTTGAAGACCAGAGGAGATCCCAGTGGCAACTTCACCTTGAAGATCCACATACCATCGACTACGTTCGCCCCCAGAGGGGGACCCTCGTCGACATAGGTGCATGTGGATCTGTAGGAGGCCATCTCTACGTCCATGGCAGCTCTCCACTGAGAGGCCCAAGGCCCTGACACTGCCTCAGCGTAAGTGCGAGGAGTCGGTATGTCAAGGGCGTCGGGGTCTCCCTCAGGGGCGAGCAGCATGGTACAGAGATGAGGCGAAGCGGCTGCCAGGAACACTAGCTCAAATTTCCTGTCCTCTAGGGCGTCACAGCCAAGGGCAGACTCACCCTCGACGGCCAGAGGAATGGTAGGAGGAGCAGCCACGACACGAGTGGCGTGGTCAAGGTGGCGAGTAGCGGCGAACTCAGTGACAGTGGCAGTTTGGGCGGAGACAGAGGACAGAGAGGCACGAGGGTCAGTAACAAGAGAGGCGACAATATGAGAGAGAACACGACAATATGTGCGGTAGTAGTCAGTGACAGGAGTAGAGAGGGAAGCAGTAAGGGCCGACTCAGAGGGGGAAGGAAGCAGAGACAGAGAAGGACGAGGGGAGCTAGAACGAAACAGGACAGTACGAAGGTCAGTGATGGGAAAAGGGGACGAGGGATGAGCACAAGGAGAGCGAGAAGCCCTAGTGTGAGAAAGAGGAGGGGACAACGGAGGCTGAGAACGGGGGAAAATAGCCTGGGTGGAGTCAGGAGGAGGAAATGTGGGACCGTAGACAGGAGGAGAGGGAGAAGAGGGAGGAGAAGGGGAGGGGAGACCAAGGGCCCGAAGGCCAGAGACAGGAGGCGTAGGCGGCCGCTGCTGCTGCTGCTGCTGCTGCTGCGGCTGCTTCTGCTGCTGCTGCTCCTGCTGCGGCTGCTGTTGCAGCTGTTGCGGCTGCTGCTCCTGCTGCTGCTACTGTGGCCACTGCTGCTGCTGCTCCTGCTGCGGCGGCTGCTGCTCCTGCTGCTGCTGCTGTTGCTGTTGCTCCTCCAGCTGCTGTAGCTCCAGCTGCTGCCGCTCAAACGCTGGCCTCTCTCGCTCCAACTCCAGCTGCTCCTCACGTGCACGGCGAAGAAGGGCCTGGTGCTGGGTCGGGTAGGGGTGGGGGGGAGGAGTAGTGTCCGGGGCGGTGGTAGCCCTAGGACCGCTCTCCAAAGCACCAGTCGCACCACCCCTAGAGCCAGCACCACCAGCAGCAACGCGACCAGTCCCAGGCTCTCCAGGTTTTGCAGAGGGCGCACCTGCACCCCCAGTGGTAGCACCCCCAGGGACAGCTCGACGAACACCAGTTCCCCGAAGACTAGAACCTCCTTTAGGCACGGGCTCAGCTACAACTCCAGCACCCCCAGCACCAGGACCTCGTGCAGGCACACTTTCAGCTCCAACTCCAACACCTCCAGAGGTAGCACCTCCAGGGTCCGCACTACGGACGCCAGCACCCTCAAGGTCTGCAGCACCTTGTGGAGGAAGAGCTAACGGCTGCTGCGGTGACAGTGAGGAAGACTGCGGAGAAGAGGACGGGACCTGAGGGGGGGGGGGGGGGGGGGGGGTAGCGTGTGACACACCTGACAGGGCTGGACCAGGGGGGGGAGGCTGTACCGGAGGAGCAGGAGGGGGAGTGGGAGTCAGGAAGAGAGGGGGAGGAGGAACCGGGAGACCTCGATAGGGGTACCGGGTGTGGTAGGGGACTGCCTCGTCAAAACAGACATCACGGGAGTCAAGGAACCGGTGAAGGGGAGGGTGGTAGAAGGTGAAGTCAGAGGAGTCCTTTAGGAAACCAAGGAAAACACAGGGAAGGGCGTGAGGAGAGAGCTTGTCCGCAGAGGTGTCATGAACAAGCGCCAAGCAGCCCCAGACACGAAAACGCGACGCAACACCAGGGGACCCGGTCCAAAGACTGGTCAGTGAAACCCCTGGCCGGGAGACACGTGGCCAGAGGTTCAGCTAGTGAGCGGCGTACTGAACCGCGTAGGGCCACAGAAAATGGGGCGCATGGGCGTGGATCATGGAGGTGCGTGCAATCTCCTTGACCAAGCCTATGCGGCGCTCAACAACCCCATTCTGATGTGGGGAATCTGGAAGCG